CCCTTGGCAGCCAGGGAAAATGGAATGAAACACAGGCGCCAGGCAGGGAATCCACCTTCCAAAAGGCCGTACACATGCACACGCACATGCACACGCACACATGCACTCGTCCTGTCAGTAAGGAGTGGGTGTGGAGTTCTCTCCTTTTCTTACTGTCCTCCTTTCAACATGTTCCAGTAACACTTTGGATACAGATTGGCCAAAGATACCAACGTTACTGGTTAGGGCACATGTGCAAATTATGGGTGAACCTGTGTAGACCCAATGAAAGATTCCGTTTGCTAATCCAGGGCCAATGAGAAGTCCTTAATGTGTCTTCAGAACGGAACCAACAAAAACTCCTTTGCATTTGTGACAAACCGTTTTGCTGAGATCTTATTTCACCTCATTCCACTGGTATTTTTTCCAGCCTCATTCCAGGGCAGAGCTAGGTGTCCATACCTTGGGTCTAAAAGCAGCAGGTGTCTGTACCCCAGGGTTAAACTCCCTCCTTGCTTTGGTCTTTCAAAAGGCTCAGCTTTTGAAAGCAGAGAGGGTGGCAGTGAAGGCTTCACAGTAGAGGGACTGGAGTGACTGACAAGAAGGAAGGTCAGGGAGCTTCCCGGGCCTGGGCTTCCTACAGGAAATTCGGGTATAATCGAATTCCTTTCAGCACCACAGGAAGCGGCAGGACCTCAGAAAGGAAATGGTAGCTGGATGCACTTTGAAAGGTTAGATTTGACCCCAGGAGTTGTCAAAGAGCGTGCTGTCAGAGGTGCGCACAAAGCCTTGGAACCACTCAAATTCAAGGGTCTGCGTGAGCTTGGGGAGTGGGCGTATGTGAAGCAAAGAGCTGAGGACCCCAAAGTTCAGGACTGTTGGCCGTCTGAGGAGAGAAGGGATTCCTGGTAATGATGCGGATTAAATTCTCCCCACGCCACAGGATGAGTCCTCAAAGCAAAATGAAGTTGATTTAGAATTTTATTAAAAGGTGTTTCTTACACCCATATCTAGAAATAAAATTTGCAAGCATTCTCCATTTGTGAAAAGAGTATTTTGTGTGCAGAACGAATGCATGTGGAGAAGGCCAGGCACAGCTTTGCAGATCAGCTGATGGCTGTTTCGTTAGTACAGGCAGGAGACGAAGGTGATGATAGCCAAGCAGAAGAGTAATCACACCTGCAGCAGCTCCGTATTTTGAGTGGCAAGGTTGGTAGCTTGTTGTTCTTAGGACTTAATGAAGTTTGAGTCTTTGAGGCTCTTTCCTAATCATGGAAAGTTCTACTTTGTATCAAGTCTGAAAATAATTGGTATGTTTGGAGAGGTGGTTAATGGGTTCTATCTAGCTGATAAACACGTTTGTTAAATGAATAAGTGAGTGGCTTAGTTTGGGAAATGAGTAGAGATGTTTGAACGAGTAGGAATGAGGAAGGCAAAATAGACCAGGCCTGTGATTAGGGGAGCACCATGAAACAAGAAAAATAAATTATGAAAACAAAGTAATGAAACGAAACTAGAAATGCAGTCAGATCACACAGGGTCTTAAGGCCAAATCAAGGAGGCCGAAATTTGGTCCTAAGATGATCAGGAATCTGTGAGAATTTTAACATGACATGCTCATAAATAGTTATTTGAAAGAGCTTCCCGACTGCCGAATAGTGAATTGGATTAGGGCAAGAGCAGATTCAGGAAACGAGGTAGATTATTGCACTAATCCTGGTAACGGGGCACTGCTGGGTTGTCCTGGGCCGATGGCTGCGAGACGGTGAGAGGAAGTGAGGGAAACCGGTTTGGGAAAAGACTTAGGCTAGTTAGGGCCTGATGACTGCTTGGAGTCAAAGAGGGAGGAAGCCCCGGCAGAGGGCGTGCGAGGCCGTTGATGGTGCTGTTGCTGAAGACAGGAAACAGGGAGGCCCATCAGGTGCTGCGGGGACAGAACCGGAGTTCAGGTTTGCACATGTCACCTGTACAGAGACGGCCACAGTCCTCACCCGGCACCATCAGTTTTGGAGGATACTGGAATCATTTAAGCAGAGAGTGACGGATGATGACAGGATCTTATCTTTTCAATAGTATTCATCTACCGATAGTAATTATCAACTCATTCCCTGGCTCTGTTAAAATACCATTTCTCTCTTCACACACTAGCGCTATCTTCAGCTTGGCTCACGCTAGTAATTTGCCTGCGCCGTGGAGAGTTTTACACGATGGATGTTTCTCAGTGTCTGGTATGCACAGACTTATTTAGAGAACCACTTCAATCCAGTGGAGTACTGAGCATATTCACTTTAGGAAAAAGTTATTTAAACTCGTCTGTTATTTTTCCATATTTTGAGGTGTCCCACCACAGTGTCTTGCACTTGTGAATGAAGAACACACTTCTCTTTCTCAGCACCCGCCAGGGTCACAGCTTGTCTGTTGCCCTCGTCCTTGGCGTCCGCATTCACTTTTCTGATGTGTTCGTTCCTCCGATGCAGGCTGGAACATTTTAAGCAAAGGAAGCAGCGTTATAAAAATAAACGCGTATTTTCCTTTTCACACACGTTTAGTTGAAATCATTCGCAGATCTAGCGGGAGCAGTATTCAGTAGGAGCTGCTTAGGGAACGCAAAGGGGATACATGCATCATCAAGACAACGTCTCGTGAGTCCCACATCGCATCGGCACCTACCCCGTCTCTCCTAAGACTTGGGTGGTGAATTTGCGTCCCTTCTTGGTTCACGTCAAATAAAATTTAAAGTAGAAGATTGCATTGTTATGTCAATGCCAAAGCCACACGCTTGGCAAAATATCAGAGTTTTTGTACCATAGACAGTATGCAAGGCGGATGTCACGTTTACTTGAGGAGATCAGAGCAAATGACGTGTATGTTTTATTGCATCTAGAAAAATAGAACAGCTGACTATGCCATGCTCAAAATCAATACTCAGATTAAGTACGTGGTCATCAGACCATCTATAGGAGTTGGTAAGCCTAAATAAATATCCCCATATATTTAATATTTAGCAAAGTGAGTGGTTTGCGGCGTTGACGTTCCATCCACACTATTTCTTGCAGGCACCACGGTGCCGGCGCTGCTGAACAGCACCTCCAACCAGCTCTACTTGCGCTTCCAGTCCGATATCAGCGTGGCGGCCGCTGGGTTTCACCTGGAATACAAAAGTAAGGTCAACTATTTCTGCACCTGGCTTTCATTGTTATATTGAGACATTTTCTTAAAGGAAAGATAAATGCATGATTTTATTAAATAGTAAAATATTATTGTTCTAAAACTATGTCTAAGATCTGCGTGAAATCGGGTCCTATAAACTGTAGCCCTATGAAATATCTATTATGAAAGAAGTGTAGAAGTCTAGTATCTGGAATAATTAGATAAAACAACTGCTACCATTTCAGGTTGTTTGTATTAAAAAGCACAAAAACTACCCATTTGTAATATGACTGGTTTTCTTGCAAGTGATGAAAAATATTCATATTAGCGTCAAACAACCTAGGAAATCATAACTTCCAAATGGATTATGGCGATGAGGCTTTTCTGTTTTAGTCTCAAAGGCTGTTAAAATAAGAACTAGCAAAGAGCAGTCACTCCGGTGCCTGCATCTGTGTATTATTCATTTTAATTGGAAGGAGGCATCGCCCAGGAGACGCTAACCTTTTAAAAATGGCTGTGAGGCTGAGTTAATAGCCTGATGAATGGATGACAAAGATCAAATTCACAAATCCTTTTTGGCGTTTGATTATGCAGGTAAACCTTGTAACAGTGAAATAAGAATTCCCAGTGAGAGTAAGGTTTATTTTAGGACATGTTTTCAAGCACTAAAAATGCTTAACGTTGATATGCATCTCCTTTAATAAGGAGTTGCAAATAAGCAAATACACAGATAAGCTTTAATAAGTGATCTTTCGAACTGAGATAAACAGTTTGCTGGGATGTAAACGTGTGAATGCCTTTGAAAGGCCAGATTTCCAGATGATGATGAATATTCGGAACCAGATACAAACCGCAGGGCTGTTTCCCATTCTGGTTAAATTTCCCTACTCATTACCGGCGTTTGTGTGCATGTTTATTCCAATTTATATGAAAAGGACTGCTTTGGTGACCGTGTGAAGTTATACTGTGGACATTATTTATGTGAGGTAAGACCGGGAAAAATCTTCTTTGATACAGTTTGTGAGCATCTGTAGATAGGAAAATATAAACCTTATTTACAATAGTGTTAATAAGTTCACTAATGGTTCTTAGCGGTGTCGGTTAGATTTGATGAATGTCCTTACCCTCTCAAACCGGTCTTGTAGCTTCTGGCTTTTCATTCACCTTTCAAGGAAAGAGATGCTAGCAAAATAATTAGTCTATGATTATTATTGTACACAGTGACCCTTGCACTCAGACGGGCTACTATTCCTAGTCAACATAATTCATTAAAAGAGGGAGATTCACATATTTCTCATTGAAACAAACCTTCTTCGAGAATCTAAGCCCTTGCATAATTACTTTAATGTATTTATTTTTTATTTGGCCAAACATAATATTCATTTCCACTTATTATTTTTGAGTGGTTGTTTTTTTGATGCTAACACCATTTGCGAAGTAAGAGGAAATCATTTCTCTGTGCTAACTCTTCATGCCAGAGTTTAAAATCTAAATTACAGAAAGGATTAATAGAATTAACCTTACTAAGATCAGCATCAAATGCTATAAGGTCTACTGATGTATATTGCCAAAAGAATTTCTAATATTTTTAACCTATTGGACGTAGCTTTTGCATCTACCTTAAAATATGTACTGCCAATCTGCAAATACCTAAATTCGGATTGTTTTGCTAAAATATATTTCCACAAAATAAAGATGAAACAGCAAAGAGGCACTTACACTATACCAGGTCTTGCTCTAAACATGTGGTGACTCTTTACTTATCTGTCCTCAAAACAACACCATATAATTGAGGTATGCTCAGATTTTCAAGGTGAAGAAACAGAACAGGAACATTTTGAGCCTGCCCAGGTCTGAGGCGTGCAGCTAATTCCTAACACAGCTCAGAGGCACACGGATGTGTCTAACCATGAACCCAGTGTTCTAACACCTGTGTGAGCGTCCCCACCGCCTGTCAGAGTGGTGGGGCACAGACGGCCCCGCTTCACAGGAGGTGACGCCAGGAGTCACCAGTAGGTTGATTCCATATTTCGGCTACATGGGAGTGCAGATCTCTCTTCCATATATTGATTCCCTTCATTTTCGGATATACTACCCAGTAGTGGAACTGTTGGATATATCAGTTCCATTTTAGATTTTTGAGGAAAGTGTCCAGTGGATGTATGTCTAAAGAAAATGTGGTATATACACACAATGGAATACTACTCAGCTGTGAAAAAGAATGACATCCTGTCCTTTGCAACAACATGAATGGACCAGAGCTCATTATGTTAAGGGAGGTAAGCCAGGCACAGAAAGACAGATAATGCATATTCTCACTCAGATGCGGGAGCTAAAAAAGTGGATCTCATGAAGATAGAGGGTAGATGGGAGGTCACCAGAGGCTGGGAACAGGACAGGGGTTGAAGAGAGGCGGAGTAACGGGCACAGATATACCCTTAGATAGAAGAGCTAAGGCCTGGTGTTCCATAGGTCGGTATAGTGACTATAGTTAATACAGATCAATTGTACATTTAAACATAGCCATAAAAGAATAATTTGAATGTCTCTGGTAGAAGTAAAAAATAAATATCTAAGGTGATAAATATGACTTGATTTGATTATATGAATGTATCAAATTGTCACATATACGCCCAAAATATGTACATCTAATATGTATCAATTAAAAAAAGGGTCAGCAGTAGTTGAATAATGGTAGACAATCGAGGAGCCTGTGAGTCCACGTTGGAGATCAAGTTTGGCTCGAAAACCCGAGCGGTTGTGGCGTGTCCACACCAGCTTCCACCCGGGGAGTTCCAGATTCCTCACACGGAAACGAAGGCTGGGCCCTCTTCCTTAGAACAGGACGTTATTCCAAATGGATGCCAGTAGGGATTTCTCGAACAAAAGCCAAACACTTTTATTTGAAAGAGTGGGTCGTAAACGATTAACAGTAACAAAAGCGATTCCAGGAAGGTCCAGTTTAATACGTATGATCTAGATACTCTGTGGTCGTACATAATCCAGGTAAAAGCTTGAAAAATAAGTATCTTTGAATGTTTAGTATATTCTACAGCCATGTATTCTTGTTTCACATTATTTAATTTGATTAGACATTTGAGAATGAACACAAGTGACATTCTTGCTCTGGGCTCTTTTCTGCCAAAAGGAACCAAACCAAACCAAAGCAAAACAAAGGTTCAGAAACCTCAGATTACAGATATGCAAACAGCGATCATATTGGTTTATGCTGGAAATTACAAATTCTAACCGGAACGTGCGCGGCACGGAGCTCGCTGCCAGGCAGCGAGATGGCAGTAGCCGTTTCTGAACTCGGCGCTGACTTCGGTGGCTCTGGCAGGAAGGGCAGGGTCTGGCAGGATGTCACATCCCAGGCTTCCAACTCCTCCCGCGCTGAGCGGCCACTGCCGTGTGCTTGGCGAGGGCTCAGGTTAGAGCCCCACCTTCAGCTTTCAGCTGTCCCGGCCCCTTTCCAAAGCAGCCGGTCTCTGTCCACACTGCTGCCCCGTGGCAGACTGCGGTCTGGGGTGGGGTTTCTCAGCATCTCTACATCACCCCTACCAAGGGCGTGAAATTCTGCCTGTGGTTGGCCTTGGGAGGGAATTTCCTGCCTGTGCCCAGTGCTAGGAGACCTCTGTCTTGGAATTGGCAAAGGGTCCTAAGCTCCTGCCGCCCTCCTGCCCTGTCCCCAGATTTGGAAGATGCTTTTCTTCTCCAAGCTGCACTGCGTCTTTGCCTTGTCCAGAGGTGGCGGGGTGTGCTGCTCCTCCCGCGGTGGTTTAAGGCCTGTGTGACCTGAGAGTGAAGGTTCAGAGATGGGCGTGTGCGGTTTCGTGTCCTTCTTTTCCCAGACCCCTTGCACTGGGGGTGGGGGGCTCTCCCCAGGCTCCCCAACATTTCTCCTGGTCACCTGCTGAGGGCCTGTGGGTGGAAGGACACACTCCCGTCTGTCCGGGTCCCTGTGGCCGTTTGCTCGGACGGAGCCGGTTTGTTCTGACCTGGTCGCTCTCACCTGAGCTCGGCCACACGACCAGCCCCTACCAGTCTCTCCTTGAACAGCCTTGTCCTTTAGCACTGGGGTCACCTGGGCATCGCAAGCTCAGCTCCCTGGTGGGTTCAAGAGAAGTTACGATTTTACAGTTCAGCGTTTTCTCGTTGTTAAAGTGGAAGTGATGTTTTATTTTGCAGATTTCTGTATCCCGAGTGGATGTGATTTTTACATTGTTCTAGTTCAAGGATTTTAAAATTCAGGGGTTTTAACATTTCTTTAGTGGGCTTTAAAATTACTCGAGGGATTTTAGGGGCTTTAGAGGTTTTAAAATTGCTCTAGTTCAACAATGGCTATATGAATACTAAAATACGTTTTAGGTTAACCATAGAGAAGCTTTTCTCAAATGCTCATTTTTAAGCATCAAATTAAGAAATTTTCTGAGTATTTATCTCAAACATAACTTTAAATTAGTGACATAGTTCTCATCATAACTGAAAAAAATTGAGAGATATTCACAAATGACAGAATTAAATTTATTATACATTTATAATACAGATAAATTATTAGCAGCATGATCTCATCTAATTGAGAACTGCTTCCTGTTTAGAGATAGTGTGTGACAGAAACCAATTGTTCTGATTTTTACATATAACAATGCTTGTTTAATAGTCATATTTTTCATTTTTAGACTTTATTAAATTTAACTATTATTATGATTGAGCTTATAGGCATTTGTCTTGCTAAATCAGAAGATATTTAAGTTCTGGGTCTTCAGTGAACCCTTTTACACCCCACCTAATGGCATCTATCCAAAATTAATATCATAAAGCAAATCAGTGTATTCAACCTCAAGCCATAGGCTGCTACAATTATTCTAGCCTCTTCCGTGCTAGTGTAATGCCACTGAGTCAAGCCAATGCCCAGGTAATTCTATTTATGGAAACTTTTTGTTTCACCCCCTTGCTTAAGAATTTTTCCAATCCACATTCACTACTGGGAAACCCAGTGGAGTTAACAAAA